AAARGGKWMCMWTTYYTTYYTYYTTGAGCCCTGTTTTTTTCTTTTTCTTTGCCAAAGGACTCCTCCCTGATTATGATTTATGTTTTTTATTCATGATAAAAGACTTTCCACTAGCGGAGAACTTCCCGTCGTGTGAAAGTTATCACGTGCGCGATGTAAACAAAATATGCAAATAACGTGAAATTGCCTTGATATTCCATCAGGGGGTTCGCCCATCTACGAGATTATGACACCTTCCTGATTTATTAACTTTCATTTGAAAATATGTTTTTCTTAAATTAATTGGACGCTTTTTGAGATTTTTAAATTTTTCTTTTTGTAAACGTTAAGTATAATGTCCAACTTCAATCTAGTCCAATAAAGGAAAAAACGATTTTTTCGGCCTCTGAATGAAGGTGGGAAGTAACCTTAAATTAGTTAATGAACAAAGAGGCGAATCTACGAGCCCGCGAGAAAGCTCGCGCTATGATCAGTGGGACGAGTAACCAACACAAGTAAGCACCGAAACGATGGTTGCACAAGACCACACGGGATGGAGGGAAAGAGTGAGATACTAAAGGAATAAGCTAACCGATTTCAGGGTTTACGTTAGGCTTCTCTGAACTTAAATTCCTACGTGTATATCTAATCTGGCTTTACCAGTTAGTAAAAACAAGAACCAAATTACAGCAGGTGGGCGAAAAAATGGGGGAAGGATCCAGAAGTAAGTCGTTACGTTTTTATTCATGAATACGTTTAAGTGTTTTCGTTCTAAATTTTGCTCTAATGGACTAAATGGCAGTACAGAACATAGAGTGGTAGTGTACACTTTCTGTGATCTAAGTTGTGATTCACAGATCGAATAAAACTCTACTTGACCCTATTCTATTTCGAACACTTATAAACAATTTTCAAAAATTTATTGCTGATTTGCATGTGTGTTTGTGTGAATGATATCAAATGTTGTGATCCAACTCTTTCTTTTTTTCACTCTGCAGCTTGGGTTGGTTCAATTGCCATGATGGGCCTTGGACTTTTCGGACCTTTGGTCGGAAACCTATATCATCGCCTGGGTGCGCGAATTGTGACACTTTCGGGAACATTGATTTGTGTAGCTAGTCTCATTGTGACCTCAAAAGTGACGAACCTCTACGTCATGTATTTCACTTATGGATTTTTGTTTAGTTTTGGCTCCTGTGGTGTATTTATACTAACCTACATAATGGTACCAAAGTACTTTACGAAGTGGCGCTCGCTTAGTTTGGGTCTCATTGCTATGGGGCCCGGTGGAGGTTTGTTTATCATGAGCCCAATTGTACACGAGCTCTTCAAAGCGTTCGGTTGGCGAGGGACTTTTTTATGCATGGCTGGTATTGTATTTCTTACAAGTGTCCTGGCTTTCGTTTATAAACCAACAGTCGAGTCTGGAAAGATGGACCTGAATTCACAACAAAAGGAGAACAAGAAATTCTGGGACATATCAATCCTTAAACACAAAGAGTTTGTTCTTTGCACAACTGCCGCTGTCTTGTTTTACACCGGGCATTATACTCCAACCGTTCACATGGTAAGTTTTAAAACATCACAATCACTTTGTCAACCGCTCTCCAGCCAAAAGAGGTTACAACTTAGCTCGATTGTTACTTAGAATGCGTTATTGCACACTATAAAACGGGGGTTGTCATTAGAAAAAGTAATAGATTTTTGATCTGGACTTGGTCGGAGGTTGAATTCAATTATTTTTTGGTTGCGAGCATGGTGCGTTGCAAAGCAACACGCCCTTCTAAGGAGGCCCGGGGTATGTTCCAGGGGGAAAATTTGAAACTCTCTGAGTCGTGGTTTCCCGCATTTTGGTATATATTTGAGGTTGTTTTTTTTAGCCACGCATCGATGTTAGAACCATTTAAAAACTTTTCATTAATTTCTGTCTTTGATCACGATTCAAAAAGTAGCCAGCGAAAAATAGTGCAACAGCCCTCGGGTTTTCCACGCAGACCAGTTTCTAATGACAACGTTGATGTCACTGATGCCGCGTTGATCTGAGCAGAGTAACATACATCTCATTCCTACATTTGTACTTAAGTAGGTGTTCAGGGACCCATTTTTCAAAAACGTCTTGGTTACTGTACTGATTCACAACCGTATTCTAAAATCTCTTTGGTAGAGCTTTTTATGGCTTGAAAACCCAGCGGTTGCGTTTTACAACTATTACCTGAGAAGTAGGAACGTGGCAACAAAAATGTTCGCGCTGCGCAAAATGTGGAAAGTGATAATGTAACAATTTTCCTTCCGGTTATAGATATTCTCAAGGGAAAAACCCATTGTAACCGGTTATTAGCAAAAGCCGCTCAAAAGAATACTTGTCTACTATCATATTACTGAGAAAGACGCGTTTTCATGAAAGTTCAACCATAATGGCTCCTAAATCAAATGTATATTTCTCTCTCTATTTCAACAGGTCCGTTACTTGGAGGAAAAGGGATTTGCAGAAGTGACAGCTTCACGTTTGTACATTTACAGTGGGATAGCTTCCTTACTAATCAGGCCTGTGATTGGTCGATTGAATGACTTTAAATGGATAAACATGTTGCACATATATTTCATAGCTGCTGGCCTTGAAGGGGCCTCTACCTTGCTCTTCCCTATGGCAACAACGAGCACGCACTTTATAATCTACTTTGTGGTGTATGGGTTGGCCGATGGAACATTGGGCTGTGGGTTTGCCATTGCTGTGTTGAACAGTCTTCCAGAAAAGTTGAAACCTCTAGGATTCGGGCTTTATAACTGCCTTAGCTGAATATCCTCAGCTTGTGGTCCAGGTCTTGGAGGTATAGTTTAAAACAGTGTGTATACCATTTTCAGATCTGACGATTCGAGCATTAACCCTTCGTCATTCGCATCAACGGAGGGCTGATGCTCGAACGTCAGTTTTAATTAGAAACTTTTCAGGTGGCTAGTTTAAATTATAAAATCGGTCGGGTGAAGCTAAATTAGTTATCCCGGAATTGATCTCAGAAGTAAACGATCGCTCGTAAATGCATCTTTTAACAACGCAAATGAATTATCAACGCAAATTAATATTCTGCTCACAGGAATGCAAAGAAACTGAGAATCGGAAATAAAATAGCCAAGATTTTGACCGTTCGCCTTAAGCTTAGCCATTACCCATTGAGACCCTCAATAAACCGCCGCCCAGTTAGCCCAATGGATAGTGAGCTGGACTGTTGTGCGGGAGGTCGAGGGTTCGAGACCCGGCCGGACCAACACTCAAGGTCTTAAAATAATTGAGAAGAGTATGCTTCCTTTCTATAACATCAAGAAATGGTTAGATATTCTAGTCTTCTCGGATAGGGACGAATAAATGGAGGTCCCGTCTCCTGCAGGGTTAGGGGTAGGAGACGTTAATTTCTCACGTACGAGATTACTGTGTGATGGATGTCCTCCCCTTGGGTGGGATGTGTGGGTTACTGGACCCGCAGTGATTGGCGGAAAGCTGTTGCGGTGTCCCTGTCTGTCTTGTAAATAGATAAATGAATACATACATAGAAAACATTGAAAAAGTACTAAGAGGTCTAAGTTAGACCTTGGATCAGTAACTGTGATTTACCAACTACCGACTCAGTTGCTTATTTGTTTTTGAAAGGTCTCGTAGCTGATATCAAGGGATCCTATACCCCAGTGTTCTACATGGTTGGTGCAATAATGTTGGCTGGAGCAGTCATAATCTTCGTCGTATCATGCATAAAGAAACCGGCGCCTGAAAAATCGAACGAGAAGGAAGAAGTCACTCAGTGGGAATCACTGATAGTTGTTGAAAAGTGCTCTGTTGTTTAGTTTCTTGATTTGTTTATTAGGGTTATTGAATAGTGAATGAGACAGGTGTAGGGTGCCATCTGCAGCCAACCGTAATTAACCTTACCTGAGGTTGCTAGTGTCACCGTCGGCGAGTGATAGCAGAAATGATGCTATGTTTTAAACATTAACTTGTATGATAATAAAATTCCTAAGTTCTGCAGAAGTTGGCCCCTTGCTCTTCTTTTTCTAAGTTTCCATTTGTCCTTATACCTCATCTATCATCGTTGTCCCTCTCTAGCAAAATTTGGACATCCCTCCAACATACGTAATTTAAAGAAATTGAAATTGAAGTTGGTAGCTAAGGGTTACTCATTACAAAAGGTGTTTGGAAGACTTCATAAAAGCTTGACGACGACTGCCAATTGAAGCTAAGCTTGGAATTAATCAATGAATCAATTAACTGTTGTATATTTGTATGGTTTCATGCTAATCAGGTAACTGAAAATCTGTTAAGAATGAACCTGAGCGCATATTAGCTCAGAACAACAAGCATCCCTTTGATCATGGCTGACAAGTAACTGGTGACGTTATTTTGACATTGCTATACAAGCTATGCGAATCAGTTAATTAAAAATATGTTTATCATAGACCTGAACAGGTATTCAACTCAGGACATCAGGCATCCCATTGGACTGGTCACGGCTGACAAGTCACTGGTGACGTTACTCTAACATTGCCATGCAAACCAAGAATAAAGTCACTCCACTTCAAAAAATTACCCACTGCCAATGTACAGTTTTTGTATATGGAGATTATTTCCTCAGCCGTAAGAAGTCTTTCCCACATGTTTACACCATACATCTGACCAAAGAAGCTTTTCTCCTCAAAACTCCAGCCGAACTCATCTAGTTCCTGACCGAGGATGAAAATGCCACTACAAGGGATCACGTGGCCTGTCGCAAAGTCCAGGTCACTTTTTAAAAGTGAGCCATTCATGTAAAAGTTACACGATCCAGCGGTGACCTCCCACGAAGCGCATATGTGAATCAGTTCCCCACCACCACGAGTCAAATTAATATTTCTTTAAGACAAAAAAAAATAATTCTTTGAGACAAAAAAGAATATATTTCTTTAAGACAAAAAACAATATTTCTTTAAGACAAAAAAAAAATCTGTCTTATGCTGATATTATATCAATGAACCAAGGGTTTATACTCTGCTTTTCTGCATGATTTAGCTCCTTTCTTAGCTCTGGTGTTTGTCGTAACCGTATGCTTCCTTCCTTTGGGCCACCAATATGTCGCAGAGCTCGCAAAAAATAATCAGGATCAAAGCACTTTGAGTAACCCGCTTAGTACCCTTTATCTTTTCGTCTCGGCCAGACAGAAGAAGCGTGAACTGTAAGGAAGATATGGGAGCAGAAATACCATGTACGTATTGACTGAGTGGGAAAGTATGTACGTATGCTGCATCAATTTTCCAAAACCATCTTACAAGCAAATAATATATCTTATCGCAAAGTAACTTGTTATGGAGAGTACGTTGCGTTACGGAATTGCTAAAAATAGAACCCTTCGTCAGCATATTTTATGATGCATTAGTTATGTAATGATACTAAAAATAGTCGTATTACAGATCCCAAGAATATCATTTCTAGAACATTTTGTAAACATATATAAGGAGTCGCGATCGGCCGGTTAAAGTTAGGAGCTAGCGTTGTTACAGAGCCGGATAGAGAGAGTCGTTGGAATTATTTACTGTCACTGGAGTCGTCAGCACGGTGTGGAAGGCTACGTTGGGAAAAGTTTAGTGGACGTCGTTAAGTCACAAGGATCTCTGAAGAGAACAGTGAGTTGTGCAGTAGTGTATAGTTTTATAGAGGGCTCTAAGATAAGAGGATAGTTATTGTATTGGTATTGGTATCGCTCCGTAGTGAGATTATTACGTCAGTTGATAAAGTAGTTGAGTTGGTGCAAGTTGTATCTTTCCGGCCGGTTGAGAAAATACCGTAACAAACTATTACCTGCTATAGCCATATATCGTGAACATAAAGCCCTCGACGTGGTCGCAAATCAGAATTTCGTTTTGCTTGAATGGTTGTGAGTAGCTGAAAACACAGCCACCGACCGAGTGAGGAGCAGGCTTCATCCATAGGCACACGGTGAAAGCGGTCAGCGGAGCAAAATCACTATACATGTAAAATTGAGCGTAATCTGAGACGGATTTTCCGTCAAAGGTGAGCTGGAAGTTTAATGCGGGATCTACAAGGTAATTAATCACTGTCAGTTGTAGCACAGTCTCAAAATGAGATGACGTCAGAAGGTCTGAGGAAGTTGGGCGGCACTAGTTGTTTGAAAGATGCTATGATTCTAAAATATAAACTTGAAGTTTTTGTCCTTGTTGATATTTCTAAGTTTTTTTTTTTTGTTGGCTTTGTTCTGTTTTGTTTTATTTTGTTTCGTCTCGTCTCGTCTTGACTCGTTGCGTTGCGTTTCTTTTCGTTTCGTATTGTTTCGATTCGTCTCGTTTTGTTTCGTTTCCATTTTAAGTCAGTTAACTTTCAGGCAGCTTCTACCGTAGTGAGAAAGACAAAACTTATAATAGGATAACGTAAGCGGTGAAAATGTCTGAAATGTCAGCCACAGAATTATTCAGTTGTAAAATAAAACTTTTAATTTCCTTTTGAACAACAGTGCTCGGATGATGAAGTACATCTTGTCTTGGCTACTGACAAATGTAAGGCGACTTACCTTCTCGGTTCATTTCACAGTAAAACAAAAACGGCTTTCCATTCTTATTTGGATCCAGCCAGTATTTGCCGCTAATGATGTCAGAGCCTTCGCTCGCCTTCACTTCCTGGCAAGATAATGCCGGCAATTCTGGAATGGAACCGAGTGGAACTGAAAGGAACGCAAATGTAAGGATGAATCAATTAACACACTTCTTTGGTAATCACGATTTACTTTATTAACTCAGACACCACCGAGATTACCTCTAAAACTGATTATGCTATTTCAAAAGTTGAAAGATGCATTGGCGCTTTATAATTATTTCGTATATTACACAGTATTAGCAAATGAAGATCGAGCCGCATGAAATGAGCCCTTCAGTCAAAATCTGGTGTCAGACTCACGAAATTCGCCGGACTGGCAATGACGCTATGAAGTGAGTAAAGTAAATACCTTATTAAAGACGCAAAGAAGCTTTCTTTTTGGCGTTTTTTTTTTTTAAGGGGGTGGAGTTTATTTGAAGAGAATTACTCAAAAGCTAAATCAAATGAGTTTTTTTACGATGACTTGTAGTGTGTTTAACTTTAAAATGCAAAACTTATTTTCATTTACTTGCAAGGTTTAGTTTGCGTTTTAGGACTTCTTAAAGAGTTCTTTTCATGATCATATTAAATTCGTTTCAGTTGAGAAAACCTATTTTAAGTGAGTCATGATACCTCTTTCAATTAGTCTTCTAACATAAAACCACGAAGTGTTAGCGCGAAGATGTTCAGGCCTTGCCTCTTTGGTTCGGTTGTTTAGTTCACAAATGTTCTCCTTTATGTTGTAGTTAAAACTTTGGCAGGTAATTTCGCTTAAGCATTTGTCATCGCACTTGTTTGGAGCTGTGACCGGTATTTTCTTAATCACAAAACCTTTTAAAGTAACACCAGGTATGTTCACTTCTGTCCTGCACTGATTGTCAGCAGTTACGAGGCTCAGGTGAAGGGTAAAGAGGAGTAGAGTGGGAAATATCCGCGGCATTTTTCCTAGTGAATCAACCTTAAATACATGTAAATGCATTAAAATATATTAAAATGTTTGGTTTTTAAAATAATTTTATCATTTACATCCACCTGCACTGAGTACCAGTTGATGAATTTGCCCACTAAGTTTATCAGTGACGTCTACCTGCGAAGTCAGAGTGTTGGGCAGGCAAGCACTCCGTCAGTTAGCTTGAAAGGTAGGCAGGCAGGCAGGCAGGCAGGCAGGCATGAGAGCTAGCAGGTAGATATTTAGGTAATCTATATTTCTATTGGTCTGTCTGTCTGTTACAAAGTCAGCACTTTTTACAGTCATGGATCAGTCAGCCTGTTGGTCTTTCGGTCAGCTGCCAGTCTTTCAGTCAATCTGAGTCAATAATCTTTCCAATTCGAGGCATGTGTATCACTCGACTGATACTTGTCCGTCGCTCTGAGCATGAGCGCATTAGTTCCTTTAAGAGTCTCATATATCCTACTGAGATACTTTACCTTGTGCAAAGTCCTTTTCTAGCCAAACACCAAGAAGACGGTTACATGACTTTATGTGTGACCCAGACACGATACGCCCTAAGAAGTCTTTAATGAGCTGTCTTAAGGCTCATGAAAATTCGCACATGTAATGAAATTTAGAGCTTGCATTACCATACTGTCAATTTTACGTGGAGGCAAATTTCTGTAGAATACGATATTCTGCACGCAAACAAACAGCTGAAGTGTATTTGTACACGATCCTCGAAGTAAAGAGCACTATTTAAACAATAGTGAAAATCAGACCTGAAAAAAATCAGGCCTGTAAGGGATTCGAACCACTGACCTCTGCAATACTAGTGCAGCGCTCTATCAATTGAGCTAATAAGCCAACTGGGAGCAGTTCATCAAATTAGTCCATTAATATTTGATATAATTATTTGTTTAGTCTTGTATTTTATGAAGAAGATTCTCGGGGGATGATATTAAACTGAGTAACGAGTGGCACTTTTTCTTGAAAGCTGTAAGACAACAAAATGTTACTGTTGTGGAACTGAACGCTACAGCGTGAAGTAAATTCAGCTAAATTATTAACAAGAGTGCGACGCTACTTAACAATGATACAAAAAGATTAAATTTAACCTTGGCTAATCTCTGGCCAAATTAAAAAGATAGAACCCGACTATATCTTTCTAAAGACGCACACGACATCTATTTTCATATTTTTTTCATTTTTTGATGTTACTTGCTAACGACACGATTTATATCATTTTAAGCAAAGAACTTTTACCAGCCAGAAAGTAGGAGTACTGATATAAATTCAAAGAGCGTGTAACTGTTTAGGTTTGGAAAGCGTGCAACACAACAATAGCTGGAATTAAGGCACAAACCATACTTTCAAATTAGCTTCAAGGAACCGAACTGATTAAACTGGTTACTAATGAGAGTGATGATAATAATTTTGCATCAGACGCGTTCTTTTTATACCTCGTTTTTAGAAAGGCCTTGTTTAAAAAAATACATCCTGATCGGGCCCGTACCCGCAAGGGACGAATCATGGGAGCAACCGAAAGATAGGACTTGTAACTTAACTACCCCTCCCCAATACCGATGAGTTGTTGAAATATTATGATTTGGTTTGTTCATAAGCATGCTCGACCTCTAACTTCGAAGAGTCGGTTTGCAGTCCAACGAGTTTGTGAGAAAAGCACAGCAAATACATGTTGAATTTAACAAGTTGAAAGAGGCTAAAATATTAACTGAAATAACTTAGCGATAAGAATTTCTGATCCCTAAGTAAGTGCCACAAGTCACAATAGATAAGATCTTTATACATGTTATAAATTGAAAAACATAGGAAGCAACAATCGAAACAACCTTTTACTCCCATGAGTGACCAAGACAGAACTCCACCTTACAACATCATTATTCTTTGATCAAAAACCAAACTCTCTTAGCTAACATCATAAAATTGACTGTATACTAGAAAGGAGAATTACTCATGAGATCAGTTGGGAACAAAGGAGTTGAGGAGATATTGATATTTTCTATTTCATGAGAGATTCAGATAACTCTGTGCGTTGATGAAAATCCCAGCTAAAAACCGCCGAAGCTTCCACCAAAAGGGTTTAAAAAAAACCTTATTTTGTTCAACAAAATGAATATTTTTGAAGGGGGAAGTGAAATGGTTCAGCTGAATTTTTCGATTTTTTATTATCATTATAATTTTTTTTCTATAGTTGCAAATTCCCCTTTCTTCTGTCTTAGCCTGTTCCACTGATATTTGACATAGAAGCGTGTGATTTTAAAGTTGTGCTTGTATGTGATTTGCTAAAGAAAGTTCATGCAACATCATCGTGGACATTTTCAAGAAAAACACTTAAGCGTACTCAGGAAATCACATTAATTACGGGTTGCAAGTAATTGGAGATGTAAGGCTCACATTTCCGTTTAAACCTGATGAGAAATCGCTCCAGCTCATGAAATGGCCGACTCCATGGGAACAATTTTTCGACAATCTATAAATTTCGTCATCCGTCAGATCTCTATTCCACATATTCACCCCGTATATTTGGCCGAGGAAGCTTTGATCCTGCTCAAATCCACCACCATAATCATCTTGATCTTGACCCAGAATAACAATACCATTAGTCGGGATCACTTCATCTATCAGAAAATCGTCGCCACTTTGCAGAAGTGAGCCGTTCACATAAAATTTCCACGATCCAGCAGCGTTCTCCCAAGAGGTGCATATGTGTAGGAGTACGTCTGCACCATGAGGCACATCTATATCTCTAGAAAAGGAATAAATTTTTATAAGTATTAATTCATTAGTATCTCTAAATGATCACATTAAACTGATATATTAATATTCCATTTAGGGAGACACGGTATCTCGTGCAGTGTTGCAAGATTCTACACTCTTTCCAAGCCTCTCTCCATCTCGGAGTATAAATGGGTACCGGGAAACTTCCAGGGAATTTGATGACGTGCGCGAGGGAGGAGGGGGTGGAAGGTGTTTGAGGATGGGTAGGGTAGGGATTATTGGGGATTATCTGCCAAAGATAAGTATTCCATTTAGAAGGGGTAGTATCACTCATTGAACAGTGGAAACCAAGTAAAGCTCTGATGGTACGACTCAATTTTAGTTTTTACGAGCCCATGTTACCTCTGCCTTGTGTAAGCTTCTCTGATACAAGAGATTTTTAAGGTAATTTAAGGTCAATTGCAAAAAAAAAAGGTGATTTCGAATTATTTACCTTCTATCGTTTTTAATGAGAAACATGAAACTTTCAATATAGTCGCAAATTAAAATCTCGTTGGCTACTTCAGGCACTGAGTAGCTGAAAAGGCATCCACCATCCGAAATGTTAGCGCTTTTTGACCACAAGCACACGGTGAAGGCGGTCAGCGGTGCTGCACAGCTTTGAATATCCAGGCTTACGTAATTTGTGACGGCCTTGCTTGGAAAAGTAAGTTGGAAGTCTGTCAAATTGGTGTCTGTAAGATCAAACAAGGTAAAAAAAGATTCGAAATATGTGAGTGGACTTAATGAGCAATATATGACCATTTATCAAAGAAATCATTATAGACAAAGTTTCCAAACGCTGAAGGACTATGTGTGAATTTATTAAGAGTTAACAAACGTTCCCTTTGGGTTATGAACTACCAATGTTTTCAGGAAGAATTATAAAGAGAAAATGTTTATTCTTGACTTATTTTGACATTTTTTGTGGCAGGAAAAAAAAAATGGAATAAGATCGAAGGAAAATGAAAGAATGATGATACGACGTCATGTAGAAATTCAAATCTTCCACTCCCTGGGGTCACCTCATTGAACTGAATTACATACAAACGGGTAAATTCAAAGTAAATTTGAAGGCCATATGCTCAAATCATCGTAACATTGCTAGCTCTACTAGCCAAACACACTGCAACAATAAAGCAATTCATCTATAGGTGTATTTCGGTCACTTTGTTATTGAATTATTCATTGGTGATGGTCAAATTCCACAGTTTATATTGTGCACGCTGATCTCGGCAAAAAATAGTTAAAAATGCAAATTCACGAGTAAAAGTCTTCACAGTGACATCTATGGTGTGTTAAACTAATTTCCCTTTCTGAGCTTACAGCTTCATGTTGTATGGGACAGGTGAGGTACATAGAGATGAGTAATTCAGAAAAGCTCATCAGGTAATCAGAATTATCGAGCCTGGTGTTAGTTTTACTTTTAATTGTAAATGCCAGCGGTTTTCCGAGTGTTGGACATGGTAATAGTAACCTAAGAATACATGCAACAAGTTAAATTCACATAATAATTTGGATATATCAACAAAGTTGAAATGGTAAATTGGCCACCGTAACGATTACAAAAGCTGACGTTTCGAGCATTAGCCTTTCGTCGGAGCGAATAGAGGAATTGTGGGTTGTGTGTGCTTTTAAAGGCAGAAAATGGAGCTACGTTATTGGTGGGAACA